TTTGCTTCTAGGTTATGTATATGTAATGAATGTGTGTAAATGTTATGGCATATGGTATGAAGTGTGATGTGAGATATAAGATGTATGTTTCTGATCATGGCATGTATGTACAGCTTAATGAACACATCTCATAATTACTTCCGATACAGGCCCCGTATATTTAAATATATTTTTATAATTCTGTTTGAGGCCGTAGGTAATTTCATGATTACTGGCCGGTTATGTCCTAAACCTCTAGGGTTGGGTTTGGGTCATGACAGCCACTCGAGCCAACCCCTAAACTCTGCAAAAGTATTGCGAGCTTGCATTCTCCGCTCGAGCGCAGACTCCACCGCTCGAGCGGGGAGTACAAATTCTAGAATTTCCAAATTGAGGTTCAAGCTTCAAAACTCAAATTCAAACCAACAAAGAATATCCTTTTGGGCCCAAAACTTGAGGAAACATATGTAAACTTGTAAAACATGGTGAATTCAAAATCATTTTGCAAAATCAAAGCCCAAAAGCATGCCAATTGTGCAAAATCAAACTTGGAACTTAAAGAACATAACATGAAGATAACATGCATGAATTGTCTTCACTTCAAAGCTTTCAAAACATCAACAAACAAGGTGTTTAACTCAAATACATGTTGAATTCTTAGAATAAAGCCAAAATGAGAACATGTAAGAGGAAATTCTTTGAAAACAACTTTAAAATCATGAGAATTATGCATGCATGTTTGATATGACTAGAATCTCTTCAATTTCAGTTCAATTTATGTATTACTCCACTTATTCACTAGAATTTCTTGCACTAACGTCTTGAATGCAAAGCTTAAGGACAAAATTCTTACCTATAAACCTCAACTCCTTGAATTTTTGAGTGATTCCTCCTAAATCCTCATGTTCTAGCTAGAATCCAAGCTAGTTCCTCTCAATTCCCTTTCTTCTAGTTGTTGAACTTGAATCTCACCTCTCTCACTCTCTCTCCATGTTTTGTTGTCAAAAGATGATAAAGTGTGTGTGGTATGAGACAACATTAGGCTTATATAAGTGCCATTAGTGGGATTAATTAATCCTTGCTTAGATTAAACAATTATATTTATTTTATTCGAGTTATTTGGCTTCGAATTGAATTTTAATTAAACCTACAATAAAATTCTAAAAATTTCAAATAACACATAACTTAAGTCAATTTCGTGTTCAGATGTCGATAAGGCCCTCAATTCATGAAACAGAAATTCAAACAGATTTTTCTACAACAAGCAGATATAAACACAAATAATGCAATACACATGTAATTAATTCAGAATTTCTTCTTAATTACTTATTAGGCATTCTTAATCATAGGTTATAGGCTAATCACAGGCCGGTGTTGTTACAAGCATGGTAGACTAGGTCATGTGAATTTTGACTCTTTGCGTAGATTAATCAAGTTAGATCACATACTATCTTTCAAGATTAATCCAAATTACAAGTGTAAAACTTGTGTAGAAGCAAAATTGACTAGGACTTTATTTCATTTTTTTGAAAGAAGTACCGAGCATTTAGATTTAGTGCATAGTGATGTGCGTGACTTGAAAGTCGTACAATTACATGGTGGCAACAAGTATTTCATCGCTTTTGTTTATGATTGCACTAAATATTGTTATGTTTATTTGCTTAAATCAAAGATGAGGCAATTGATAAATTTATTCTTTTTAAGAATGAAGTTGAGAATCAACTAAGCCAAAAGATTAAGGTTTTAAGCAGTGATCGTGGTGGAGAATATGAATTGCCGTTTATTGAGATTTGTGCTCAATCTGAAATTATCTACCAAACTACAGCACCTTATTCCCTTCAGTCAATTGGTGTTGCTGAGCGAAAAAATCGGACGTTAAAAGAAATGATGAATGCAATGTTAATAAGTTCTGGGTTGCCACAGAACTTGTGGGTGTCACGACCCGAAATAGGGGCTAATTGGAATCGCAACTGGCCAGCACCTCATCTCGCACCCTAGGCCTACTACTAAGAGCATCTCCAACGGTGACTCAGATTTTTCACCAAATCTGAGTAAAAAATGACCCATTTCACCAAATTTGATACCACTCACTCCAACGGTGCATCAAATCTCGTATCAAATCCCGTGGGTCAACCGGTTGGTCGACCGGTGGGTCGACCGGTAAGCGTAAATATTTTTTTTTGGAACGCTTTGTTCATGGAGAGGGAAATTTGTTCAATAACTATCCAGAATTAGAGGAATCTTTGGTTTGGGTTTATTTTCACTCCACTTTTCCAGAATTCAACAAGGTGGAATGTTGGGGACCACTCATCTTCATCAATTCATCAAGAACTTGGAATGTATTCAGAACAGCTTCATCTCTGTTTTGGTTTTGGTGGTTGACCGGGTGGTTGACCGGCCGGTCGACCGGCTGGTCAACCGGTAAGGCAAAAATAAATTTTTTTTTTTTTACCTGTTTGAACCTTTTTTTGACCGGTTTGAACCTATCAATTTCAAAGGAATTCGGTCGACCGGTTGGTCAACCAGCCGGGCAACCGGTTGGTCGACCGGGTCGCCCCTCCAACGGTCACCAACAGTGTTTTGGTGAAATCAGTATTTCGTCGTCAGTTTGATGAATTGTTTGATGAAATCTCAATCTGATATTCATTTGGTGCAACCGTTGGAGCAGTGAATAGTAGCTTTTTCATCAAATTTTGAATTTGATATCAGTTTTGCTGAACCATTGGAGATGGTCTAACTCGTTTAGAGAACAAATAAATAAATCATCGCAAATACTAGGTGATTACATTTAACCAGAGCGTTGCTATATAAGTCATACAAGTCATAAAGGAAAGTTAAGTTACAACAATAACTTGGCCCTATGCCAACAAAACAGGTAATACATGACTTATATAAAACTATAGGTCTAGAATCCATCCCAGGCCACGAGACACCACAAAAATAGGCCTTTGGTTATCCACTAAGCATTCTCCTTACCTGAAATGGGTTAGTAACACACCCGTGAGCCATAAAGCTTGTGAGAACATATTTACACAATTTACAAGTTTGCCACGGTTCAAACATAAATATTTCAAGTTTCGAGCATAACTGTTCATGTTCAAAAGCCCAATGGCTAAAAAGACAAAATAAATGCTCTTATATATATATATATCGAAATATACATACATATGTCCATTCGACTGGATATGTTGCCAGAGAAGTAGGGAGCTACCCATACTAATATCAAGTGGTCATGATCATGCCAAGGGACGATGGCCGCGTCCCAACAACCACCCTTTTAACGCCTCACCCGTTGGTATCTTTAATTTCCCCCAACGTCCGGGATGTTCCGTTCGAATGTACATTATTACATTTGCAAGAGTTTTATAACAATGTCTTAACCATGGCTTCATAAAAACAATATGTATATAAGCAATACGTGTGAGTCGGCTTATCCCGTTAGCTCACGTTTTCTAAAACATAACATGATTTTCAAAATGTATTCAAGGTACTTTTCTAATCATAGGCATACTTGCTAAAGTTCAAAATCATATGTTTATTTTGTTATTCATAAATCAATGCAATCTCATGCTCCAAAATAATTCATCGATCAAAGCATGTCATTACATTCAAATACATGTAAAAAGTGTAAGCATGAACTCACCTAAATGTATATGAAGTTTGGTAAAATCAACCGAAACCGAGATCTAAACACAACGTATGAAAAACTACATTATAGTAGGTCTAGGAATTAATTCTAAGCATGAAATAAATATTCAAACCATAATCCCAAAGTGTACAATTTAAAAGGGGTCCTTCTCTTATGGTCCAAAAATTCTTAGTTTGCAGCACTTTAGATCAGAGGCTAAAATCCTAATCAAAACACTTTGAAATATTCTGAAATTTACAGGGTTATCAATCAAGATGTTATGAAACTTTTTCATGAAGGACTCGTCTCCCAAAAATGCTCATAAACAGGGTAAAATGGCAGTAAAACAAAGCTGGTCCAGATCCGTTGCAGTTCCTAAAAAAATAATTTCCACAACAATCTAGCTGTTGGATCGAGTTGAAACAAATTGGGTTGGAAAGATAACACTCTAATTTAACTCTGGTCCAAAAATCAACCGTTAAAGTCGCGTAAATATTTTTAGAAGAATTTTCAAAGTAGACTGTCTGTTCAGGAAAAAAAACTGTTTGTTGGGTAAAATCCTTGTTTTGAGCTTTAGCCTCATCGTTCATTGTAACATGATATCAATGGGAGGAAATAAAGTCTGAATCTGTATTTTAGGACTTAGATTCATGGTTCATTGTAACATGAAATGAAAGGAGTGAAATGAAGGCTTTAATTTAGGGAATTGAAGTAGATATAGAGAGGAATTTACCTAGACTTGAAGCTTGAAGAACAAAGATGAAAGTGTTTGATTTTCTCTCTTAAATCTACAGATTTTCAGCAAGAAGATGAAGTTTCTGCACATATAGGATATATATAGGAGGAAAGGGGTAGGTAGGATCAATGGCTAGGATTGAATGGTGAAGTATGTGGTAAAAAGGGGAGTGAGGTGGATATATCTTTCACCTCACCAAGAAATTACAGCCATGGTGGCTGATTTTACCACCAAAAATTGCACTGCTCGAATAAACGCAGTGCGCGGACATCCGGGCTGTCCGAAAATCGGTTCAAGAAAAATTCCATTTAATCACTGTTGGCTAATTTCGACATTCTGAGTTCGATGGTGTGATCCATTTCGCCTAAAGAAAAAATATACATCTTTATGAGTTTTATTTTTGACACACTCAAAGAGGATTATCAATTATTGTTCTGTTATAGGTCCGCCCCGGATGGCCAAGTATAGATAATATTTATTAACATGACATTGATGAACTTATTAAATATGAGATGCGACCTTCGTTCATTGACGGTGTTAAACAAAAGGCGAAAAGTTGGATCGGGTCTTCACATCCTTCCCACCTTAAGAAGTCTGGTCCTCCAAACTTGACCGAAGTACTACAGTAATGTGTTATAAAAAAAAAAAAAAATTACCTTATTCAAAAAGATACGGGTAGAGAGTTCGGATGTCCTCCTCTGTTTCCCAAGTAGCCTCTCCGTTAGCATTATTGTCCCACCAGAACTTCACTAGAGGTATGACTTTGTTTCGCAATTGCGTCACCTTTCTGTCCATGATACGAATGAGCTTTACAATGTAAGTCAGATTCAGTTGCACTTCAGCTGACTCAGGCACTCGAACATGTGATGAGTCTGGCACATAAGGTTTTAGCATCAAGATATGAAAGACGTCATGAACTCCGGCGAGCTTCGGTGTTAATGCGAGTCGATATGCTACAGGTCCGACACGCTTAGTGATTCTGAAAGGTCCCACGAACCTTGGATTCAATTTTCCCCGCTTCCCAAATCGAACGACCCCTTTCAGAGGTGAAATCTTCACAAATGCTGAGTCTCCTATATTGAGATCAAGATTCCTCCTTCTGCTATCCACATAACTTTTCTGTCTATCTTGAGCTATCTTCAGGCGGTCCTGGATGAGCTTGATCTTCTCCGTTGTTTCCTCAATGATGTTTGGTCTGATTTCTTCTTCCATGATCTGTTTCTCCCCGACTTCAGTCCAACACACTGGCGATCTACATTTCTTTCCATATAAAGCTTCATAAGGTGCCATCCCGATACTTGCCTGGTAACTATTATTGTAGGCGAACTCTACTAAAGGTATGTACTCTTCCCAACTGCCTCAAAAATCCATCGCGCAGGCTCTAAGCAAGTCTTCTAGCGTCTGAATGATCTGCTTAGATTGTCCATCTGTGATACCCCTGTTCTGTATTATGCTAAATTGGTCCTTAATTTGTTTATGGTTATGTGTTTAGCATGATTTTGTGTGCCATTATGTGATAATATGTGATTTTGAATTCGTATCTGTTCACCGTAAGAATATCTGTTTGAATAATCTGCTTCGGGAATTAAATTGAGGGCCTTATCGGCCACAGAACCCAAAATTGATTACGCCATTGTGATTAGCATAATTTTTAGAGCCTACGGTGAAATTTAATTGAAAATTTATTCTGGTCAATTTAAACTGATTAAATTGATAAATTAAGTACCCCATTATTTCATATTAAAATATTTGTTAGTGGGGCTTGTTGTATATTGGCATTGCACTCTCTTTTAGCTCTCTTAGAACTCAAAAATCTGAGTTAGACAATTGAGAGTGAGAGAGAGGCCGGCTATAGAGAGAGGAAGGAAGAGACTTGGGCAATTTTTGGCTCTAGCTTGGGAATTTGAAGATTTAACTCAAGAATCGACTAGAATTTGGAAGATTAAAGCTCCTAGGTGAGTAACCAACCCCTAACTCATGAATTTGAGTAGTGATTTCGTGAATTAAAGATTAATTTGTGATCTAGAACATGAAAGGAGTTGGTTTTGATGAATCTGAAGACTATATATGCATGCATGTATGTATTGCTTTGAATTTGCATATTTGAGCTTGAATTACATGATTCATGTTGCAATTTCGGTTAAAATCCATGTATTTGACCATATTTTCATCATATGAGATGAGAATGAGGGTTATATGTCACATGCATGTACAATCCATGGAAGTAGAAGCTTTGAATGCATGGAATGGTTACATTGGTAATGAGTTGGTGGAAAATGAGCCATGCATGTAGATAAATTATGAAATTGAGCTTTAATATGTTGTAATTCTATGTTTGTACCATGTTAATACATGATTATGTGAAGTTTGGACCGAAATCATGCATTTAGAGCCTTTGAATGTCGAGATGAAGCTCAAGAACTCAATTTGGAAAACCCAGATTTTCGATGTCCGCTCGAGCGGGTGAAGTGACGCTCGAGCGGAGAAAACGAGCTCCCAGTATTTTTTTGCAGACATGGTTCCCGCTCGAGCGGGGAGCTATGTAGACAGGCAGTACGCTCGAGCGGCCGAGTTCACGCTCGAGCTGGAATTGAAGGCAACCAGTACTTTTGCAGACCTAAGGGTCCGCTCGAGCGGGGAAGTCCACGCTCGAACGGGGACCCTATTTTCTGAAATCCTATTTTTGCATTTTGTGTTCTGTTTTCCATTCTCTTTCACTTGCAAGCACTCTTAGGCATATGTTAAGCATTGTAAATGAGTTAATGAGATAATAATAAAGCCTAAAGAGGAATATGTGAATTAAAGAACGGATTGAACTGTTAATGACCCTTTTGTGTTCATGAAACGTGTAGGGTCAAGCTCCAGGGCAAATCCACAAGCCGATCACTGTGAGTAATATCAATATTTGAAAGCTTGTCAATGTCCAATTGTTATTCCCTTATAAACTTTATGAGTTGTTAGTTGGGATTGTGGACAAAAGTCTGACAGGAATCAATGAATGGACCAAAGGTCGTTTTGATGTAAATGAATGGACCGGAGGTCGTTTTGATGTAAATGAATGGACCAAAGGTCGTTTTGATGTAAATGAATGGACCAAAGGTCGTTTTGATGTAAATAAATGGACCGGAGGTCGTTTTGATGTAAATGAATGGACCAAAGGTCGTTTTGATGAAAATGAGTGGACTGAAGGTCGTTCTGACATGAATGAGTGGGCCGAAGGCCGTTTTGACGTAAATGAATGGGCTAAAGGCCATTTTGACATAAATGGATTGGCCGAAGGCCGTTTTGACATGAATGAATGGGCCAAAGGCCGTTTGGAACATGCTGTTCTACATTGTTACGTAATTTCTGCATTTGATATTATTCACTGGGCTATCGCTCACGCTCATTCATGTGTTTGTAGGTGAGCCAAGGGAAGTCCAAACCCAGCCCCAGTGAAGTCTGCTAGGAAAAATCCGAGTTTTGAGGAAGTCAGCCTTGCGTCTCACTCTTGAGACCTACCCTTGCCTTTTTGGCTATGTAATTATATTTTGTCTTGCCGGCAAGGACTTTATGTATATCTGTAATTAGTCTGTCATAGGTTGACTCGTTTTGGATGATCCTGACTGTAATGAATTTTGTGAAACTGTACTTTTGGATGTGGGTTATTAACGTAACTGAATATGGTCTGTTGATGTGCATATAAGCACGGCTCTATGGACAAAGTTTTAAGATTGCTTCCCTTTTGGCCCCCTTTACTCTGATGTCTTAAGTCTGCATTGGTTTGAGGCCGTAGGTAATCTTAGGATTACTGGCCGGTTACGTCCTTAACCCATGGGGGCGGGTTCGGGTCGTGACACCATCGGTCTGCGGATAAAAGGTTGTATTGAGGTTCAGCTTTGTTCCCATGGCTCGTTGAAAGCTACTCTAGAAATCTGACACAAATCTCAGGTCTCGGTCGAACACAATAGATACAGGTACTCCATGTAGTCTAACTATCTCTGCGAGGTAGATGTAGGCATAACGGTCGACTGAGAATGTCTTTTTGACCGGCAGAAAATGAGCTGACTTTGTCAATTGATCGACGATCACCCATATCATGTTGTTTCCTTTTGGTGTGCGTGGTAGTCCCGATACGAAGTCCATCGTGATGTGCTCCCACTTCCATTCGGCTACAGGTAGAGGTTGAAGTAGTCCTGCTGATTTTTGGTGTTCTACTTTTATTTACTGACACTGGAAACAACCCCTTACATATTTTTCTATCTCTCTCTTCATTCCCCTCCACCAATATACGGTCTTCAAGTCTTGATACATCTTGGTGATCCCTAGATGAATTGCAAGTTTGGACTTGTGGCCGTCGTCCAAAATCTGGTGTTTGACCTATTCTATGGCCGGGACACAGACTCTAGCTCAAAATTTCAGAATTCCATTGGTAACTGTGAAATCTGGATGTGGTTCTGTTTCTAGTCCATCTCAAACTTTTTTCAATTCTGGATCCTCCTTCTGTCTTTGTCTGATCATTTCAGTTACAGCGGGTTGAGCAACTATGGCGTTGCACGTGGTAATCGATCCTGGAATTATCACTTCCAATTCTATTTGATCCATCTCTTCTAAAAGTGTTGGTTGCGTAGTGATTAGACAATTTATCCTCCCTGTCAATTTCCTGCTCAGAGTGTCTGCTACCACGTTAGCTTTTCCTGGGTGGTATTGAATGTTGACATCGTAATCTTTGATTAGTTCTAACCACCGGCGTTGCCTTAAGTTAAGCTCCTTCTGGGTAAAGATGTACTTTAGGCTTTTATGATCAGTGTAGATTTCGCACGATACTCCATACAAGTAGTGTCTCCAGATTTTCAAGGCAAAAATTACTGCAGCGAGCTCCAGGTCGTGAGTTGGATAGTTCCTTTCGCGTGTCTTCAATTGTCGTGAGGCGTAGGTGATGACTTTCCCACGTTGCATTAAAACACATCCCAAGCATTGTCGTGACGCATCACTGTAGATTGCATATCCATCGACGCCGTCAGGAAGAGTAAGGATCGGTGCTGAAACCAATCTCTTCTTCAAGTCTTGGAAACTCTGCTCTCGTTTTTCGGTCCGAACGAACGGTGTGCCTTTTCGTGTTAGCTCAGTCAATGGCATGACAATCCTTGAAAAATCTTGCACGAATTTGCGGTAGTAGCCAGCTAGTCCCAGAAAACTTCTAACTTCAGTCACGGTGGTGGGTCAAGGCCAATTGACAATTGCTTTGATCTTTTGTGGGTCCACTGAAACTCCATCCTTACTGATGATGTGTCCTAAGAATGCGACACTGTTTAACCAGAATTCACATTTCTTGAACTTGGCGTAGAGCTTTCGCTCCTTTAGCGTCTATAGAACCTTTTGCAACTGTTCTGCATGTTGCTTTTCATCCTTGGAGTAAATCAGTATATCGTCGATGAAAACGATGACAAATTTGTCCAACAGCTTGAATACACGATTCATCAAGTCCATAAACACAGCAGGTGCATTGGTCACGCCAAAAGGCATCACAAGAAACTCGTAGTGACCGTAATGAGTACGAAAAGATGTCTTCCCTATGTCCTCAGTTTTCACCTTCAGTTGATGGTGCCCCGACCGTAAATCAATCTTTGAAAATACACATGTGCCTTGCAGCTGATCAAACAACTCATCGATTCGAGGTAGCGGCACTACAACAAAACTAGCTTTTTACGGCACTACATCAACAACATACAATAAATGCACGCCGTAGTTTCTCACTTTTACGACTTTCTTTTTTTGCACGTCATAAATAGTTTTCCAACCACGGCATTTCTATTGTGTAGGCCGTGAATGGTAATAACAATAATTTTTTTACGACTTGCAATGTACGCCGTAAATAATAAAACTTTCAACGACATACATATGGCGTGCCGTTAATACATCAATTATATATGACGCACATACGCTAGCCGTTAAAAGTATTGCCTTTTTACGACGCACACAACGTCTGCCGTTAAAAGTATTGCAATTTTTACGACGGACAATGTATGTCGTAAATTGTATGATCAAAAACAAAGAAGTGCGAAAATAAATTTTTTGGTGCTAATTCACCCCCAAAAAAAAAAAAACAAGAAAAATATTTCGCAAAAGATAATATACATCAACTGTTTGAGCTTCTAATAGATTCTAATCATCAGACACTAGTTCGAAGGGGATCTATAACTGGTATGACAACTGGCTTGACAGCGGTATCCATCGCTGTTTCCCTCATCATCTCTTTGCTCACTTCCATTTTCTAACTCGTCTCTTTGTGGCTTCGATTAACAAAATGA